AAACTCTCCATGATCTGGCACCACCTTACCTATTCAACTTTGTCTCTCACTACTACCCAATGCTACAACTCTCTCATTCATTACATTGTGAGCTTCTTGAGGACAGAGACTGTCTTTTGCTTCTTTCTGTATCTCCAATGCTTAGCACAGTGCCTGGCACATATTAGGTGCTTAATAAATGTTTAATGCAGAGCAGCTAGGGGGCACAGTAGATAGAGCACTGGCCTGAAGTCAGGAGGACCTGAGTTCAAATCCAGCCTCAGATGAAACACTTGACACTTACTAGCTGTGTGACCCTGGGCAAGTCACTTAACCCCAGTTGCCTAATAAATAAATAAATGAATGAATCAATGGATAAATAAATAAATAAATGTTTAATGCATTGAAATGGAATTCACTTTTCCTGTGTACTCAGTTCTTCCAGTTCTGCTTTTTCCACTTTGCACTATTTCATAAAGGTCACTCTAAGGGTTTTTTTGGTCACAAATAATTTCCTTAATACACTTAGAAGCCATGATTTTCTTGATGTGGGTACTGATACCACAAATCACAACCTATCTCTGCCTACATAGATCTTTGAGTAATTGCTCTAACCAAAAATTCTGTCACTTTGTGACCTGGTGAGCCTTTCTGAACTTAGCTAGACTGGTCCTCCAACAACAGAAAGCCTGTCATTAAGCCTATATTTGAAACCCTTTCAGATGGGCAATCCCCACTGGCATAACCATGGAAGACCCATGATGCCTCAGAGATAAAACAGAGAATATGATAAATGCATAAGAAGTACCAGGTGACATGAGGATTCAGAAGGACAAAGAGTTTCCAGATTGGGGTAGGGAAGGGAAAATTCCTGCAAAGCTTAATAGAGAAGTTGACATTTGAGCTGGGTTCTAAAGGATGGGATTTCAACAGAATGACAGAGAACACAAAATTATATTTCCCCTTTTACAGTAACTTTCCCTGTTTGGACTTCAGATTCCTCATTTGTAAAATGAGGGAGTTACATGAGATCTAAACCTATGACATTATTATCATACATTAGGGCCTAAAGGTCACATAAATTACAAGTGATCCTAGTCTGTTAGCATTCACTAAAGAAATAGTCAGACTTCCTTTCTAGTCCCAGATCAGAAGGTATGCAATTCTTCATCCATTCAGACTTCTGACTCTAGGTGTTCCCTTAGATTCTATCCTAGACCCTCTTCTCTTCTATCTTTATGTACTTTTCTTAATGGTTCATCAGCTAACGATCATATCTATGGCAATGGCGCCACAGTCTTTAAATCCAGTCCTAATCTCTCCCCTGATTTCCAATGCCACCTCACCAACTGCCTACTGGATGTCCAAGAGGCCATCTCACCAACTGCCTACTGGATGTCCAAGAGGGAACTCCAACACAGTATGTCTAAAACAGAACTCACTATCTTTTCCCCTAAACCCATCCCTCCTCTGAATTTCCCAATTTCTATTGAGAGGATCACAATCTTTTCCCACCTAGTTTCACAACCTCAAAGTCATCCTTAGCTTTTCACTTTCCCTAGCCATTCATATCCAATCAATTGTTAACTTCTTGTCCATCCAAGTTCCACAACATCTCTCCCAAACAACCCTTCCTCTCTGGTCGCATGGTCATCATCCTAGATTAGGCTCCCATCACCTCTCAGTTATACTACAGCAGGAGATTCTTAATAGGTTTCTCAGCTTCTCTCTCCACTCTCCCATCCATCATCTACAGAGCTGCCAAAATAATCTTCCTAAGGCACAGATCTGACCTGGAATCAACAATCTGCAGTGGCTCCTTCTTGCCTTTAGAATCAAATGGAAAACTGCTCACTTTGGCATTCAATGTCTTTCACAGTCTGGCTTCAGCCTAACTTTCCAGACTGACTTCACATTATTCCCTTCATGTACTCTACATTCTAACCAAACAGGCTTATTTGCTATTCCCCAAACTTGGTATTCATTTCATCTCTTACCTTTGCACTCTGATGCCAAACTTTTCTCATCCTGCCAAGGATCCCTCCAGAGCCCACCATAGCAGTCAACAAATATCCACAAGTCAGCACTGTGTGCTCAGGACTGTAGTGAACACTGAATGCCCACAGTAGAAAGAGTTCTAGTCTAAACATCAGAAAATCGGGGTTTGGACCCCAGCTATCTCACTTCCTCAATGTCAGAACTGAGCTAATTGCTTCTCCTCTCTAGGCCTCAGTCACCTCATCAATAAAGGGGGATAGGGTGAAAAGGCCACTGGACTTGGATGTGGACTCTTCCACCTGCTAAATGTGTGACCTTGGGCAAATCATCTCTCCTCTCTGGGCCTGAGTTTTCTCATCTGTAAAATTCAATCATTCAACAAATATTTAAGCACCTACAATGTCACAGACACTGTGCACCAAATGAGAGGGCGAGGCTAGTTAAGCTAGTTAAGATCCCTCATAGCTCTAATATTCCAATTCTGTAGGCTTAATAATGCCTGACCTGCCTCTATACAGGGTTGTTGTAAGGATCAAAAGAGATAATATATGTGAACAAGTTTGATAAATGGTAAAGAACTCTATAAATATAAGAGAACATTACCACTAGTCTGTGTCCTTGAAACTACCAGATCTTTTTAAAATACGAAATCCTGAAGAAAAGCCTGCAGGCAGAAGCAAGCCATCCCAGTCACCTGAACAAGCCATGCACCAGGAGCACGGGGGGCTCATAATATTTAGCTTCAGGAGAACCTTTTATTTCTGGAAATGGATTTCAATTTACAAAAAAAAAAAAAAACAACACACTTTTTGAAAACAGAAAAAGGAAGATCATCCAAAGTAGGAGTTTGCCTTTTTGAGATAATCACATAAATTAGGGCCATTGGAGAAAGTCCATTAAGTGAGTAGTGAAGCAACGTGCAGGCATAAAAAGAACTATTTGATTATAAGTGAACAAGTACTCCTAGTCCCTTACGAGAAAAAAAATGGTTGCGTCATGCAGCAGCTGATAGGTTATCTCCAGGTAGCTGGAAGTAGAAGGAACATTAGAAGTACCATTTTTTCAAGCTACCAGAATTTCTGTACCTCTAGATTCCAAAGATAAAGCAGGTTTATAAAGATGCTTTAGAATTAAGTGAATTTAATTATCTTCTATTTCTTTGAAAATTATCAGCACATGCTGGGTATATATATATGTGTATTGACCTGCCCAGCTCCCTGTCCCTGCAAAACTGAGGTCCCCAAACTTCCACATGTAGATCTGGCCCTATACAAGATGCTAGTACCAACTTTCTCCCTGACCAGGAGGATTCCAAGAAAGCCTTAATTAGAAGTGGGCCTAAGCCATAGTTTCACTGAGGCCCTCCTCAATGGAACAGCCAGTAATGGAGCCACCCTTCAGTGATCTTAAGGCCAACTGTATCTCCTAGATCTTCATGAGGCTCAGCATCAGCTTCTCTATGTCTGTGAAGAACTTTGTGTTCTAAAGACCTCCTCCAGGCCAATGTTGTCTTTGGGAGGTATGTATTGAGGGCAGGGAGGAAAGGTGAACATAAGTACCCTCTGCCCTTCTCCAATCAATCAAGTAGCAAGGGTTCACATTTAGGGTTTCCTAGGTGCCTAGCCTGGGATATACATACACACATATATATATACACATATATACACACATACATACATACATATGGTATGTGCATGTATATATATATATATATATATATATATACACATATATATATATATATGATCTATGTATGTGACTACCAGAAACTTTTTAACTGTCGAAACAGAAGACAGAAAATAATTTCATAAACCAAAACATTTCCTTCAATGATTGCTTGTCTAAAACTATAAAGCCCTTTCAAGGAGTCCTAAAACATACATTCAAGAATGACTCATCTTAGGTCATTGAAAGCACTCAGCTTTGCTTCCTGACCCTCAAACAGCCAAGGCCTGTTACTCTTAAGTGCCAAAGAGTACATTACAGTGTTTTTCTGGGGAAATGTACGTACAGAATGTTGTATAGAGGTCTCAGCCTTTCTACTTCCCATCTGATAGAATTCATGTAGCAGAATATGTATTTACCATAGTTACTCATCCAGGAAAGTTGTCATTTTCTGAATTGGTGGAGTTTGCTTTCCTGCCCCGACTTGAAATGCTATCACTTTTGCCACTAGAGGAACCTGGGGAGGAGGCCAAAAAGTTGCCAGCTAACAGAAACCAAAGAAATGTGAGACTCAGGAGAATACAGCAACCATAGGACTATACTATCCATTGCCTATATTGGCAAATGGAAGAGGTAGTAGGCAGCTGCACCCTCTAGGCCATGACTGTACTAAAGATTTCTTTTTTGCAGTTTACCTTTTCACTCTTCTCTCTGAGCCTTAGGACCAATGAAATTCCATAAAGCCAAATCCTGCTAAGTTTTATATTCTCCCTTAGTAAGAAAACCAGTGAGCTCAAATGGAATTATATGATACTATCCAAGAAAGGGAGGCAGCAAGATGGCTCAGTGGATAGAGTGCTGAGCCTGGAGTCAGGAAGACCTGAGTTCAAATCCAGCATCAGACACTAACTAGCTGCGTGTGTGTGTGACCCTGGGTAAGAGTCACTTAACCTCAGTTTGTCTTAATCCACTGCACAAGGAAATAACAAACCACTCCAGTATTTTTGCCAAGAAAACCTCATGGACGGTATGGTCCATGGGGTCACAAAGAACTAGACACAACAGAACTAATAACAACAACATCTAAGAAAAGAGGCTTTGCGAAGGAAATTAAGCACAAAAACAAAACTGGGACTGAGAAACAAAGCTAAACTCCCAAGGAAGGAGAATGTATGTGCAGAGGACCACTGAGGCGAGGGCACTGAGGCTCAACTATTCCCAGGAATCTTTGGGTCTCTGAGAGGGAGGCACATTCACCCAGCTGAACAAAGTCCAACTTGCTGGGTTTCTCAGGATCATCGATGTCTTTCCAAATCCCATTTGTTCAGACTGGTACCAGCTTGTTTGGGAACACTCACCATGGCAGTTGATCAAGAGCAGCTCCAGGTCCTCTCAAATCCCTCCACCATTAGGAGACTGAAGTAGTGGAATGAGTCCTGGAATGAGAGTCCGGAAAGATTTTGAGCTCAGTTTTGGACATGGTGAGTTTAAAATGTTTATGAGCTATCTCATTCCAGATGGCCAATAGGCAGCTGGAGAGTTGAGGTCACTTTTCCTCTCTGGTCCTCAGGTTTCTGATCTATAAACGAGGAGGGATGGACTATAATCTAGTCACTAGATCAGAGGGTCTTAACCTATTTCTGTCATGGACCTCCTTAGCAGTCCGGTAAAGCTTATGGATCCACGCCCAGAATAATATTTTGAAATAATTGAAGGGAACATAAATTCCAACTAGAGGTTAGCGAAAATAAAAATGCAATTTTCCCCCACTTAAGTTCCTGGACCTCCTGAAATCTAGCCACATATTCCCAAGGGTTAAGAAGCCCTGTACTAGACTTCAAAGGTGCCTTCCAGATCTGCATTCTATGATCCTAAAATCTTTCCTAATTTTGTACAGAACAACTAGGTGCAACAGTAAAGAGAACTTGGAGTCTGGAAGACTTGAGCTTCAATCTTGCTTCAGTCACTTACAGCCACTGCTAGGAGGGCCAACATCTAACATCTGTCTGCCTCAGTTTTCTCATCCGTAAAATGGGGATAATAATAGCATCTACCTCACAGGGTTACTGGGAGGAACAAAGGGGATAATATAGGTAAAGAGCTTCGCAAAACTTTAAAACACTATATAATACTAGCTATTAGTATTAGTATTATTAAGAAGCCTCTACTCAGGGTCTTATGGGTGATGTTGCCACCTAGTGGAAAATGGTCGCAATAGGCAGTGAAGACAACAACAGTAAAGAACAGGGAATTCAAATAAACAATTAAAAAAAAATACACAGGAAGACAAAGACTGTAGGAAACATTACAAAAATGGTGACAGCAAGTCAAGGATGAAACCGCCCTAGAACTTGTTTCCAAATTTCAACGGCTGACAATAATACGGTTTGTTAGGAATTAATATGCATTAATGTAGTGGGTCACCTTCATTCATGTGGGGAAGTTTGATAGCCCACATCTGCTTCTAAAAAGCCATGAAGCAGCATACTTTCCTGCTTCCCTATCTTCGTTCATGCTGTTCCTTCCTCCTAGATGCCATCCCCTTTCCCCAACTGTCAAAATCTTATCCATACTTCTCTAACACTTCTCTAATAGAACTCACCATGTTTCGCCTGGTAATGACAAAAAACAATAACAATAGTTGTCATTTATAGAGCACTTTAAGGTTTACAAAACACTTTACATATGTTATCTCACTTGATTCTCACAATAACACCTTGAGGTAGGTACTACGATTATTCCCATTTTACAGATCAGGAAACTGAGGCTGAGATGGGTTAAGTGATTTGCCAGAGGCCAAATCTCATGCAGGATTCAAACTCAGATCTTCCTGACCCCAAGTCCAGCATTCCATTCATTGCACCACTTGATTACATAGTATATCCCTTACCTATTAGAACTGATAGAACCTTAAAGTTGGAAGAAAACCTAAGAGATAATTTTCCAGAAGAAGAAAACAGGCCAATTGCCCAAGGCCACAGAGCTAGGCAGCCACAGCATGACTCAAATCTACATCTCCTGATTTCTGGTACACTGATGTTTACATTATACCCCATATTATCTCCACCTAGACTGAAAGTTTCTTGAAATCAATCAGAGCATGTTAGGGCAGTGGAAAGGAAGGTCCCAGGAAGCAGGCACTGGTTTTCACTGGATCTCTGTACCCACAATGCCTCATTCACAACAGGAGCTTCATAAATGCCTGTTAGAGCAGATAGAGCGGTAAGAAACCTTGGAAATCATATAATCCAAATGCTGTATTTTACATACATGGCGCCTGCAGGCCAGAGAAGGGAAGTGATTTGCCCACGGTCAAAGAACTCGTTTGTGACAGAGACAAGACAAGCATCCAAGTCTCCTCCCACTCTGCTCTGTATCTCCTAGGAGCCAGAACAACATTTTACACATAGTTATTAAATGTCAACTCTTTCTTGGATAAAGAAAACAATGAATTATTTATTTAATTTTGTCTAGATACCTTTGGAAATTTTATGACACTCTACCATTGTGATGTGAGTATTCCCTCAGTTCAGTGGCACAGATCAAAACCTGCCTGCACCCTCTCATGCTGTATGACTCTCGCCTACACTCTTCCAGAAAGTCTCCAGAAAAGAGCCATTATAAAATTATTTCAACTAATGGTGTCCTAGATTATTTCAATGAAGCATTTCTACTATAAATGCATACTGCAAAATTTCTTTTCTTTATACATTTTGTTCTGACGTGACATTTCCCAAGTAATTCCCAAAGAAACCCCCTCCCACAACAAAATTATATCCCCCCAAAAAAAAATCAAGCAAAACTGCTTCAGAGCAATTGCCAACATCATCAGTGTAAGTTGGTGTCCCAGAGATGTCTGAATTGTATTTCTATACACAGCCTCTTTTTTACAAAGGTTATCACTAACAAAGGCACTAGGTGGCGCAGTGGATACAGCATCGGGCCTGGAGTCAACAAGACCTGGTTTCAGACACTAGCTGAGTGACCCTGGGTAAGTCACTTAACCCCGTTTGCCTCAGTTTCCTCATCTGTAAAATGAGCTGCAGAAGGAAATGGCAAAACACTCCAGGATCTTTGCCAAGAAAACCCCAAAAGGGCCATAAAGAGCTGGACACGAGTGAAACAACTGAACAAAACAATCACTAACAAAGGCTGTATGCTATTTGGGGACCAGCCTACCAAAGTTTAGAGAATTCATCAGCTGAGGGTTGGCAACTGGGAGCCAAATTTTAGGAAGGGTACTAATAAGCTAGAAATTGACCAGGGAAGAACAGGACAGTGAAGGTACACGCCCTAAGAGAACTGGGTGAAGACACTAGGGACATTTAGCCTGAATAAGAGAAGATTTAAGGGAGGTATATATATTGTGGAAGAGGGATTTAACTCATTTTAATTGGCCCCAGAGGGCAGAAGTGGGAGTTATGGGTGGAAATTTCAGAGGCAAATGGGAATGGACTGCTTAGGAGGTAGTGGATTTCTCCTCACTTGAGATCCTCAAGAACAGGTTAGATGCCACCTGTCAAATATGCCATAAAAGGGACGAACTAGATGGTCTTTCTGTGATTCTGCACATTTTTTTCAGCTATGAGACCTGAGGAATAATAATAGATAACATTCCCCCTTACATAGGGTTTTATACTGAAGTTTGCAAAAACCTTCACATATATTATCTTCTTTAGGGCTCACAACAACCTTGTGAGGTAGGTACTACAGGTACCTTATTCCCATGACTATTTATAAGCCAACAAACATCTTAAGTGCCTACTATGTGCCAGACACTGCTCTAAGGGCAAAGAGATTAAAATCTACATTGCTGGAGGCAGCATCCAAGCTGATGAAGGAGCCTTTGAAAAACCATTATTAAATCATTATTAACAAATGTAAAATCATAAGGAAAGTGTTCTTCCAATTTCCGTTTGACAATCTCCAGGGACAGAGAGCTCACAACTTTCCTAAGACAGCTTATTACACTGAGCCACTATCGACCTCCCTGGAACTTTTTATCTGTTGGTCTTTGTTCTGGTCTCTGAAATCACACAAAACAAATCAAACTCATCTTTCACACATCAGCTATGATGGCTGTCCCCCCCTCCCCCAATCTTCTCTTCTCCAGGCTGAGAATTCTTAGTTCCTTTACTTGATCGTTATAAGGCACAGTTTTAAAATCTATACTAGTGGAACACAAACTCTGACTGATCCTGTCAAGGTGGAAAGACTTTGGGGGTGGGCCTGGTGGCAAACTGTCATTTAAGAACTAGTCTAGTTAAGTTTAGAAAGGCACAGCATCAGGGGGCCCTCAGGCTGATGAATTTTTCAGTCACAGCCACTCTGGCAAACCATTTACCAGGTACCAATTAATCAGATCCTTGAAGGTGCAGGGGGGTGGGGGTAAGGAACTGGGCAAACAGTAAGCATCCTCCATCAACACACTTAACAACCTTCATTAATTTCAAGCCACTTTTACTAAAATGACAAAGGTAATTTGAATCTCTATTTCCTAAAAGTCCTCTCTTTCTTCAGTAATTTCCCCAGAAAAGTGCCGCTTAGAGAATGAGAGGGAGATGATTTTGAAGTGATTGAAGGTGTTTGATTATTTGTTTTCTTTTCATCCCAAAGCTTATGATTTCTTATTTGAGGGGGCTAGAGAAAAAGAATTAGGAGTGAACAAGCAACTTAAATCGCTATTAGAGAATCATGTGACTTGGGGAACAAATTGCCATTTACATGGAAAGCTTAAAACTTTGCAGATAAGCAGGGGATCTGATGAGAATTTAGCTTTTGTGGCACAATTATTAAGTCAGATGGTACTTAGTAAGATGACAAAAATCAACAAAATCACAATTTGGAGGAGGTGGGGTGCTACGGGAGTGGCACACTAATGCATGGTTCATGGCACTGTGAATTGGCCCAGCCATTCTGGAAAACACTTTGCTCAACTCTGCCCATAAAGTCACTCAACTGTGTATAACCTTTGATCTAGTGACACCACTGCTAGGCTTATACCCCAAAGAGACCAGAAAAAGAAGTATAAAATTAGCTCTTTTTGTTATGGGACCTTAGGTAGTTCTAAAGAATCTGGTTTTTTGTGTATTGTATATACTTGAAAGCAGGGGTTCTGAACCTTTTTTTTGTCATGGATCTCTTGAGCAGTCTGGTGAAACTCACAGGTTCTCTTCTCAAAATGTCTTTTTTTTAATAATTGAAGGAAATATTAAATTTCAGTTAGAGGTTTGTGAAAATAAGGATGTAATTTTTTTTCCTATCCATGTTCACAGACCCCAGGTAAGTAACAACTACGACAGCAGCAGCTGACAGTTATAAAGTCATTTTTAAGATTTACAAAGCACTTGACATGGATTATCTCATTTGAACCCACCACCTCCAATCTCTCTGCTGATGCTCTTGCCAAGTGCTAAAAAAGAAGGCCAAATGGGATTGGGTAAATGCTTTAGGATCCCTAACAAAACCAGATTTTGTGACACGTAAAACCTTTGGATTTAAGTCAAACAGCCCTTCCTATAGCTAGACAGAAAATATGAATTGGACTATTGGCAAGAAAAGAAGCTGAGAGTCTTCTCCCTACTAAGCAAACCTAGAGACAGGAAAGACAAAGAAGGATCCAATCTTCCTACTTTCCAGACAGACCTGAAACCATTCAAGAATGGGCTGCATCAAGCATTGTACAGGCCTGGAGCTCAAAAGTAACCGACCACAAAAAACTGGAAACAAAGCAAATGCCCAGTGATTGGGGAAATGGCTAAACAAATTGTGGTCCAAGAATGGAATGGAATATTACTGAGCTGTAAGAAATGATGAGTGTCCTCTAGGGCTATATCCCAAAGAGATCAAACAAATGGGAAAAGGACCCACACGTACAAAAATATTCATAGCAGCTCTTTTTGTGGTGGCAAAGAATTGAAAATTGAGAGGATGCCCACCCATTGGGGAATGGCTGAGCAAGTTGTGGTATATGAATGTAATGGAATACTATTGTGCTCTAAGAAATGATGAACAGGCTGACTTTAGAAAAACCTGGAAAGACTTATATGGTCTGATGCTGAGTGAAGTGAGCAGAACCAAGAGGACTTTATACACAATAACAGCCACGTTATGCAATGACTAAGATTGTTAAACTGAACCTTTCTCAGCATTATGAGGAGCTAAGACATTTCCAGAGGCCTCGGGATGGATAATGCTGTCCACATCCAAAGAAAGAACTATGGAAGTCGAATCGCTCTCACTTATTTTTACCTTCTGTTGAGTTTTGTTTCATCTTTCTGATGGTTCCTCCTACTGGTCTTAATTTGTACTTACAACTTCACTGATGTGAAAATATGTTTAATGGGTATGTAAATGTAAAGCCTATATCGGATTGTGTGCCGTCTTGGGGGGGGGAGGAAAAGGGAGAAAAATTTTCAACTCAAAAGCATATGGAAAAAATAAAAAAATTTAAATTAAAAAAATAAAATAAAATAAAAAAAAGAAATGATGAGCGTGATGAACACTAAGATGCACGGAAAGACTTAAATGAACTGATGCAAAGTGAATTGAACAGGGCCAGGAAAATAATATACACAATGACAACAACAATGTAAATGGGAAGAAGAACCACTACCATACAACATTTGAAAATGAATGATACAAAATTATAAAGAACAAGCTTGGCTGGCAAAGAAGAGACATGAGAAGACACTTGCTCCCTGCTCTTTTGAGGTGAGTGGGGGTGGAATCCATGGTTGTGCAACATCACATGGAATGGCAGATTTTTTCAGGATATCAATCAGTTTTACTGGTGTTTTCCCCACGTTCTGCTTTTTTGTTATAAGGGATGGCTCTCACACAAGGAGAGGGGAACCTAAGAGACTTAAAAACATAAGACCTCAATAAAATCTATTTTTAAAAGGAATCTACCAGAGGCTTTGGTTCACCTGTGCCCCATTTTGCTTGCTGCCAGTGTAAGAGCTTGGAAGGCCTACACACCTCACAGCATTTTTATTCTATTAGAATATTGTTGAAGGTACCCAGTATGCATATGAAAGTCTTAACTGAAGCAGTTCACTATAAACTGTGACATACACTGCAATATGTTCACAGATCATAGATTTAAAGGGGTAAAGGATCTCAGAAGGCCCAGGTAGCACTAGAAACAAGATTTTTAACCCAGGTCCTCTGATTCCAGGGCAGCTAGGTGGGTCAGTGGATAGAGCGCTAGGCCTGGAGTCAAGAAGACTCATCTTCCTGAGTTCCAGTCAGGCCTCAGACACTTACTAGTTGTGTGACCCTGGGCAAGTCACTTCACTGTTTACCTCAGTTTCCTCATCTGTCAAATGAGCTGGAGAAGGAAATGGCAAACCACCCTAGGATCTTTGCCAAGAAAACC